AGTTGACTGATATTGGATTAGTAAGAGTTAGTATCAGCGACTTTATTTTTATATTTAAACTGAAATTATTATTTAATAATTTATTAAAATAAAATGCATTCTACTGCAATCCATAATCTTTTAATCATATTTTCTATAATATTAATAATATTTTTAATATTAACAATTATATAATAATACGATTATATAATAACACGATTTTGCAAATTTTATTCTCTTAACAATAAACTTATTGCATCGAGATTGATGTCATGCAAATAGACGTCATTATAAAAAAATTATTTTTCTTTGTAATTTCAATTGGTAATCATTTTGTAAATAAAGATAACATTTTCTTGAAGAATTATAAAACTTTCTGATCTAATGGTCGAAATTTCTAATGATATTTAATTGATACTACAAGGCATATAGATAAATTTTGATGAACGATATAAATTTTATTATGACCAATATTGCTCGTTATATTTTTGTTCAAAATGACAATCACATTTAATAAATATCTTTTAAATGAATATTTAAATAAATATTTCTTCTATGTATGAACTGTTTTTGTAACGCAATGAAACATTTGTAATAATTGCAAATATTAGCATATAATAGCATAGGCGTGTGTTTTTGTGATACTCGTATATATGCAATTATTATCATATATACATGCAATTTTTTTTAAATGCATAAATGCATCTATTTTTAATTTTAATAACATAATTTCAAGCTAATTTTAATATTAACATAGTTCCAAGCTTGATTATATTATCTGTTTATATTATCTGTTTCATAGTAATAATGTAGTTCCGTTTCAATTTTTTATACAAATTGATTTGAATAATTTTGCATACAGACAAGATAAATAAGCAGTTAATTGCGTAGAAATATCAGTTTAATATAAAGTTACCCTAGTGATAAAAATATTTATATATTTAAAATTTAATATTTCAAAAATTATACAGACTTGTATTTATAAATATTTTCAAAACACGTTAAAAAATAATTGTGTTACATTCTAAATTAATGTTAAGTCAAAGAGAAGACAGGTAATTATCAGGCATTCGATATTTTCAGTAATATTTTAGCTTTGATTAATGATTACTCAAATAATTTGAAAAATGGTTGATTATTCGAATAATCAATAATTAAAATAGAAAATTTTTTAATTATTTGAGTACTCGGTAATAAAAATGAAAAAAGTTTTAATTACTTTATTAATTATTAATCAAAATTGAGAAATTTTTTGATTACTTGATTAATCAGTAATCAGAATGTAATAATTTCAATTACTTCATCAATCAGTAATCAGATCTAAAAACTTTTCAATTATTTCATTATTCAATAATCAATGTCAGATTCTTTTTGATTATTTAGTTGATTATTTTCTTGATTATTTTTTTGATTTAATTAATGATCAATGTTAAGTATCAATTACACACAGAAAAAAGACTAGTTCAACGGAATATTTTTCTAATAAAATTGAAGTAGGATTTTTTATGACTGATAAAAAAATTTGATCTGAATGTGGAAGATTCCATTTATATAAAAAAATATTGCGCAGCATTCAGTTATTGTTTCTATCAGTGCAATATTTAAAGTGAACATTTAATAAATAGTATATAAAGAAATATCATCAAATTGAAGAGGATTGAAAGCGTAATATCAGATATTTTTTATTTTTATGTACTCTTGAAAATACAGTTTGCCTTACTCTTTTTTCAAAATTTTCATTTGTAAGGCGATTGAATTTTCCGATGTTAAACATTGTGGCGAAACTAAACATTCTTTCGACTGGAGTTGATGATGGCAACAAAGTATTAAATTAAAAAAATGCCGATTGATGGTAGGATAAGCAAAATCGATAAATCGTTATACTTATATTAATTTTCTGCTTTTGACAGAAACGTTGAAACTTCGATTTCATATGCGGTAATCCTAAAGTTTGAACATTTGATTTGCCTACGTTTTCATTATCGAAATCAAATCCATCATTACTAATGTCCATCTCTGGGATTTTATAATGGAAGCTGATAACATGTTGCTATTACATTTTTTATAGAGTAATTAAAAACTTTTCCATTTTAATTACTGATAAATCGAATAATTAAAAATTTCTTTATTTTGATTACTGATTAATCCAATAGTTAAAAATCTTTTTATTTTAATTACCGATTAATTGAGTAATTAAAATTTTTTTCATTTTCATTACTGATTAATCATGTAATCGGAAAATATTCTTTTTTGATTACGTAATTAATTCATAAATCAAATAATATTAATTTATTATTACTTTTTTGCCGATTCCTGATAATTATTATATAATTAATTCATAATAATTTTTAGAGAAATTTAAAAATATGTATATATAGATGTATTCTTTCTATTTGTTTGTAATTAATTCATATAACAATTGTAACAAATTATGACAAATAGAAAAAATAATATACATATTATATCTTTTAAATTTTTCTAAAAATTATTATAAGAGTTAGATGAAATATAAATAACATATTTAATGCATGTTTTATATATCAATTACAGGGATTTTTAAGGATTTTAATATTAAAATCATTTTCGCCAAAAAAAGATATTTTTTATGATACGTGCGATTTAACAGCAAAAAAAAAGGAAAAATTGAAAATAACAAAACTTGAATACTTTTGCTTGGTCAAGAGACAATGATTTTTATTATATTGGTATTACTTATTTTTATTTTATTGGCATATAATTTTTATGTGCATTATGAACGAAATGGGAGACTTATCAATCGTATACCAGGTCCATCTGGTTATTCAATTATTGGCAATCTATTGATGTTCCAAGGTTCATTTGGTAAGTAAAATTTTGAATATACAGTCCGGTATCGACTGCATCACTTCTCTCCGGACAGGTAGAGCAGATTAAATTGAATAGAGAAATCCTTTACTATTTTTGCGATAGTTAACGAGATATTAATTGCGAAAGATAATCGAATCCGCTCGACTTATCAGCATTAGTAGATCGTCGTTGTTTAACATGCGAGCAATTGTTTACAAGCGACATTGGAGTGGTGCATAAACAACAATTTTTATTCTCCTAGCGATATCGATCGCCGAATTACTGTATCTCTCCGCGCATTTATTTGGCGATAAGCCAGACTAATATGGCTTTTTAATCATTAATAATTCTTCGTTAACTGTTGCGAAAATTGCAAAATGACAAGACTTTTCTACTCAATTTAAACTGATTTACCTACTCACGAGAGATGATCGATATCAGATATTCTGTATGTGTTTCAATTAGTTAATTCTAAAATATGAAGCTGTCAAACTTATTACTTTTTTAATATTTTTAATAGTTACAATAACTATATCAATATATTTTTATAATTTGTAATATATCTGAATAAAATTATTAATTTTTTATCTACAATATAAATAAAAGATATTTATTTAATAAAATTAAAAATTATATTTATTTCTCATAACACGAGAATATAAACGAAAAATGTTATTTCTTTGAAAAGACAAGTATTGTGATAAGTAAAATATTTTCCTCAAAATTATATTTTTGAAATTTATTTTTGAAAATAATAATTATAATTTTGAAAATATATTTTTTAAAATGCAGTTTCATATTTTTATCATTGACACAAATTTAATACATATTAATACATTAAAGTATTAATAAATAAATTGCAATTTTTTTTGTATTTGCAATAATTTTTGTATTTACGACATGCACTTTTTGCAGAAAAATTTTGGAAGTTACATGTAACACTTTCTGATCAATATTATCCCATTTTCAAAGTTTGGCTTTTGTTTAAACCTGTTGTAGTTATCTATCATCCTGATGACATGGAGGTAATATAATATAACAAAATTTAAATTTGTGAATAATTTCATTATGACAAATTGGGGAAAAAGGCATTCCTCGTTTCTTTACATTTCGTAAACATTTTTATTTATAAAAATTAAATTAAAAATCCTGAAATACCAGTAATAATTTAAATAACAATTAATTAATTGTCTGCATCACGATTGAGTTAAATATTTATGTGCTATAATTCGAACTCATTAATATTTTTTATAATTTTAGATAATATTAGGGACGATGACGCATATCGAAAAGAGTTTTATTTACAACATGTTACATCCTTGGTTAAAAACAGGTCTTCTTACCGCCGGAGGTAATATATATAAAATATGTATATATTTTACTATTATGAAAAGTGATTGCATTTTTGTTATACATTCAGAAACAATGAAAAAAAACATAAACTTAAAGATTATTAAGAAAGTAAAATGTGTGTAATACTTTATAATTATTCTAATACTTTATAATTAATACTTTATTATTATAAAAACTAAGTATAGAAAAAAATTAATAAATACAAAAACAATTTATGTCATAATAATGTAAAAATAATTAAAATCTTGATTGACAGAGTTTCATGAATTTTTTAATAAAGTTTAATTTATTTTATTAACTAATTGACAAATTAATTTTGTTTTAGGCACCAAATGGCAATTGCGACGAAAATTATTAACTCCCGCATTTCATTTTGCTATATTAAAACAATTTATTAATATTTTGATCAAGGAGGGCGAAGACATGGCAAACTCTTTAAAAAATATAGAAAGCACAATTGTAAAAGATTTAGTTTCATTTGTTAGTGAACATACACTGAACGCATTATGCGGTATTGTATTCTGATTATGATTATATAATATTTATATGAATATGATTATATGAATATGAATATGATCATATAATCATATTCATATAAATATTTTGAATATGATTATAATGTTTTTATCTAGGATAACATAACGAGCAACGAAAGACGAAGAGATAAATTCTGTATGCGAAATATAATTACGATAAATTAAAGATTAATATTTAATTTTTATAATATTAGAATCTATTTATCTAATATAATAGTTTACAAATAATTGATTATACACTATCGTGATATTATTTTAAGAAACGATATTACTTGTAGAAACTGCCATGGGCACTTCTTTGCAAGGATTGGGTCCGTTCCAGCAACAATATCGAAATGCAATTCATCAGATGTCCCAAATCTTGACTTATAAGTAATTTTTAGATATAAAAATTCTGTCGAATCGAATATAATAATATTTCAATGGACAGATTAATAGCGTAAAATTAGTAAAATAAACAATTATACTCAATTAAATATACTGAACTAAATTAGCAATTAGCAATTTAAACGTCTAATCGTCCAATCGTTTGTCTTTAAAACAAAATTTGTTGTTTAAATTTTTAACATGTCTTAAACGTTTAGAATATTATAGTAAAATTAATCCATTAAACCTAAAACAAGCTATTTTTAAAATTTTTTACACATTTGTATTTTTGTTTTTTCGAAATTCTGTGTAGAAGATATCCGGTAATGATTATATCACTTCTCATGAGCAAGTAGAGTGAGTCATATTAAATTGAGAAATATCATTGCAATTTTCGTAATAATTGAAGAGTTAATAATTTATACAGATCCGAGATTGTACGACCATTCGCTCGAAGGATTAGACTAGTGCTACGCAACATTACAGTTGATACGCAAGATATTTGAGTGTGATTTATACAAATAACAGAGTATTTGTTTATAATGAATGCCTCCAAAACACACACACACACACACACACACACACACACACACACACACACACACACACACACACACACACACACACACATTGCCTAGCAGCTGTAAGTGTGCGTAACCATACTTTTCGATATATTAGCTTTAAATGCCCTATCATGTATATAATTGTACTAATTCTAAATTAATTACAATTTAGAACAATGAGACCATGGCTACATAACGATTGGATCTTCTCGTTAACGTCAAAAGGTAGACAACAAAAAAGGATTTTAAAGATATTGCATGGATTTACTCAGAAAGTATGTAAAAGTCTTGTGTTATATAGTGTCTTTCAATAAAATTATAAGAAACAACCTAAAAATTTCATAATATGATACATCAACATAATTTTATACAAAAAATAATATCATAATTTATAAACATCGAGAAATACATTTTTAATATATTTATAATGTTATAAAGAAGTGATTTTTTTTAGATTATTGCAGAAAGGAAACTTTATCATGAACAAATCAATGAAGGATACTTGAAAAGTTTTGATAAAGATACATTGGCAGAAGAAGATAATTCAGAAACTATTACAAGTATGTTGCATAATTAAATATGTGTTTTTAACTTGATTTATATTAAATTTATTTTACAATATTTAAGATTATTAATTCAAGTAATTATATTTAAAAATTAAATAATATAAATATAATGTTTGTTAAGAGTAAAAATTAGTTCAATATTAATATAACTCAACTTTTAAATCAATGTTATTTAGTAAGAAGGACATACCAAAATTATATTATGTTAATAATAAATAAAGATATAATTTTATTATAAGATTAGTTGATATGTTTTACTCCTTAATTTAGTTAAAAAAAAGCGACTGGCTATGATCGACATATTAATAGCAACATCTCGAGAAGGTCATTTAACTGATTCAGATATTCAAGAGGAAATCGACACTTTTTTATTTGCCGTATGTACTTAAAAAATTGTTTATTGTTTATTTAGACATATAAATATATATGTAAGTGATTATAGGGTCATGATACCACAGCGATAACTATGTGCTTTGTTTTGTTGCTATTGGCTGAGCATAAAGATGTTCAGGTAATTTTGATTTAATAAGTATTACGATTGATAGAAACTAAGTAATTTTATTAATTTAACTTATCGGGACAGTTATGCAACTATAAATGTGACAAGCCATTTTATATGTATATGTGCATATATTTATATTTTATATACATATATGTGTGTATTTAACATATGACAGTTTTTTTTTCAATTTAGATATGTAACAAATGCATTCTTAAATTGCTTTCTTATTTTGACTATAATTCGTAAACATATTTATGGCTTAATAATAATAATCCATAACATTATAATTATATTTCTAAAAAAAATTAATAACAATGTTTTTTAAAATATATTAATTCATTTTAATGATACAGGAACATGTCAGAGAAGAAATCAATGCTGTGATGCATGAAAGTGGAGGAAAACTTAGTATGCAATCGCTGCAAAATTTATCGTATTTAGAAAGATGTATAAAAGAAACGTTGCGTTTGTATCCCATCGCCTATTTTATATCACGAATTACTTCCGAGGATGTAAAATTACGTATGTTTTAATCTCTTATTTTATATTTCATTAAATATCTATTTCTTTAGTTTTATATAAAATCTAATCTTATCTATTTATGAATTGAAAGTTAATTTATAATATTTTTTAGAATCATACTTAGTACCAGCTGGTACAATTTTGTATATTAATATCTACGGAGCTCATAGAAATCCGAATTATTGGCAAAATCCAGAGGTATTTGATCCAGACAGATTTTTATCTGAGAAAATTCGAAATCGACATCCGTATTCATATTTGCCATTTAGTGCTGGGCCACGTAACTGCATTGGTAAATTATCTTTTAGTATTCTTTTCAATATTCTTCTATAAACGGTTTATGATACATATAACAAATTGTAGGACAACGATTTGCTTTGTTAAAATTGAAGGCTCTAATAGCTCCTTTGATATACAAATTCTACTTGGAACCCGTAGAATATTTAAAAGATATTTCATTGAAAGCTGAATTGCTGATTCGTCCTTCTCATCCATTTCGTTTAAAATTTGTCCCAATCATTAACGCATGTACAGATGTTTGAAGGGATTCTT